TTCTTCACTTTAAACTTATTTTGTCACTGGTCTAAACGTTACTAAAATAATTAATTAAATAACAATTTTCTAAAGAACCCACAACACATGTCTTTAGACCTAATTGGAAAAAAAAAGATAAACATTTTCAATTCCAACTAAACCTAGAGCGTCTGGTCTAATGTACTCAAATGAAAAAAAAAAAAAAAATTATCGCCAACCATTCGCCATTCATTGTATCATATGTGGCAAAACTTGATTTGATTGATTTGTAAATGATTAATTATGAATTATTTTCCAATTAACACTTAATTTTAAATCACAACAAACAAGTTAACTTTTTTACATTCAACAGTACAATTATATTAATAGATAAAACCTCCAATTATTCAGATGCCTTAAGAAATGATAAGGAAAATATTTTATATATAAAATTATCTTTTACATAAATTGCTATATATTTTTTTTTCGAAATTTTTTGAAATTTCAACATTTGATGGATAATTTCCAGAAAAATGAAAAATCAGTTGGCTGGTTGCAGTTCAACGGAAAGGGCTGTTTAATTTAATTGGGAAGAGAAGTGTGAAAATTATATATATATTTTTTTGCTTAATTAAGGGTGTGTTTTAAAATATTTTTAATTAAATTTAACAATTTAAAATAATTAAAAAATATATTTATTTCAGAGTTCAATTAACGGCTTCATCATGGGGGACATGTTTCGCAGTGAGAAAATGTCCTTGTGCCAAATCTTCCTGCAACCGGAAGCGGCCTATGCCTCTTTGGCTCAGCTGGGAGAGAGTGGCTGTGTACAATTTCGTGATGTAAGTGAATTATTTTATGGATTTTGTGTTATATTTTCGGAAATCTTTTGTCAGAAATTTTAATATTTTCGGAAAATTTCGACTTGGGTCAGTTTGTTGAGTCAATTTATATGGGAGCTAGGTGATCGGGGACCAGTGTCCCCTACAAAATACTGCAATGACCTCGCAGACGGAAACTAGCTCTTTTTCTAAAGTGTAGGATATGTGTTCCATTCAAGACTCAGATTAATCTGTGTAGAATTTATCGAAAGTTTTGAACCGATTGCATATCTTTACAAAATTTTGGGAAGGATATTGTTTGGTCGAAATTCACGGGAATGTTGGCAGCAATGGTGTCAAAAGATTCCCTTTTTACAAAAATCTCTAATATTCTTTTCATTTCCACCTCTTTCCAATTTCCAGATGAACGAAGGCACAACATCGTATCAACGCAAATACGTTTCGGAAGTAAGACGCTGTGATGAATTGGAGCGTAAAATACGTTTTGTAGAAAATGAAATCAAAAAAGATGGTCTCCAAATGCCCGAGCTAACAGAGATACCCCCCGCACCCAAACCCAGGGAAATAAACGATTTGGAGGCACATTTGGAAAAGTGTGAAAAGGAAATAACGGAATTATCACAAAACGATGTAAATCTTAAGTCTAACTTTTTGGAATTAACCGAAATGTTAAGGGTTTTAGAGAAAACCCAGGGATTCTTTGCCGAACAGGCCGTCGTCAATATGGAGTTGAATAAACAAAATGAGAATTATCATCACGAAGCCGGTGGTCATTTGGGTTTTGTGGCTGGTGTAGTGAGTCGCGAGAGAGAGTATGCTTTTGAGCGTATGCTATGGCGTGTGGCACGTGGTAATGCTTATGTGAAGAGAGCTCCCTTGGAAGAGTCCTTAAAAGATCCCAAAACTGGCAATGTCATGTATAAGACAGTGTTTGTGGTCTTCTTCCAGGGTGAACAATTGAGAAGTAGAGTTAAGAAGGTATGCACTGGATTCCATGCCTCCATGTATCCCTGTCCCAATGAGCATGAAGAACGTGAAGAAATGATTCGGGGTTTGCGCACCAGAATCGAGGATTTGAAAGTGGTTTTGAAGCAGACCGAAGATCAACGTACTTGTGTCTTGGTGGCGGTCTCTAAACAACTGGCTGCCTGGGAGGTTATGGTTAAGAAAATGAAGGCTGTCTATCACACCTTAAATATGTTGAGTCAAGATGTGACCAGCAAATGTTTGATTGGTGAATGTTGGGTTCCTACCCGTGATCTGGACAATGTACAGGCTTGTTTGGCGGAGGGTTCTGTAGCGGTGGGCAGTACAGTGCCTTCTTTCGTGAATGTGATAGAGACTGATGATCGTCCACCCACCTACAATCGCACTAATAAATTTACCAGAGGTTTTCAAAACCTTATAGATGCCTATGGTGTGGCCACTTACCGTGAAGCTAATCCTGCTCTATACACTTGCATTACCTTTCCCTTTCTATTTGCTGTGATGTTTGGTGATATGGGTCACGGCTTTATATTATTACTCTTCGGTGCCTGGATGGTTTTATGGGAAAAATCCTTGGGTCGCAAAAAGGGCGGTGAAATTTGGAATATTTTCTTTAGTGGTCGTTACATTATCTTGCTTATGGGTATTTTTGCTGTCTACACCGGTTTCACCTACAATGATTGTTTCTCCAAATCCTTTAATGTATTTGGTTCGACCTGGCGTGTGCGTTACAATAGAACTACTGTATTAACTAATCCTGAAGGTCTTACTTTAGATCCCACTACCGCTACCACCGGGGTTTATGTGTGGGGTATGGATCCTATTTGGCAGTTGGCAGATAATAAGATTATCTTCTTGAATACTTACAAAATGAAACTGTCCATTATTTTTGGTGTCCTGCATATGGTATTTGGTGTTTGTATGTCGGTGGTGAATTTTGTGTACTTTAAGCGTTATGCCAGTATTCTGTTGGAATTTTTACCACAAATCATATTCCTTTTGCTGTTGTTCGGTTATATGGTCTTTATGATGTTCTATAAGTGGGTAAAATATTCACCTACCTCCACCTATGAGCCAGATACACCCGGTTGTGCTCCCTCTGTGTTGATTATGTTTATTAATATGATGCTGTTTAAGAGCAGTCCTCCCTTGCCAGGTTGTGATGAGTTCATGTTTGACAATCAATCGACTATCGAAATGGCTTTTGTAATTGTGGCAGTGATTTGCATTCCCTGGATGTTGATTGGTAAACCTTTGTACATTAAGCACACCAGAAAACATAAACCAGTGGTGAGTTGATTTTAATTATTTTAGCTCCCCAAAATTTATATTTCCCATTCCATTCGCAAGCATCCTGAGGATTTCACTTCCACCGATACTTTAGAAATGGTAGAAGGTGATACCGCTGTGGTGGTGGAAGTTATACAAACTTCCAATAAAGATGCAGATGCTGGTCATGATCATGACGATGAACCCATGAGTGAAATTTGGATTCATCAAGCTATTCATACCATAGAATATGTGCTAAGTACCATTTCTCATACGGCCTCCTATTTGCGTTTGTGGGCCTTGTCCTTAGCTCATGCTCGTAAGTTTGTTTTTTTCTTAAACAGTTTAAAGATTTTGTTAAATTGTTTATAATTTTCTTTAGAATTATCTGAAGTTTTATGGACTATGGTTTTGTCTTTGGGTCTGCAGCTTAAAGGTTATACTGGCTCCATAGGTCTCTTCTTTATTTTTGCCATTTGGGTTTTCTTTACTCTCGCCATTATGGTCATGATGGAGGGTTTGTCTGCCTTTTTGCATACTTTACGTTTGCATTGGTAAGTTAATTATTAATTTGTTTATTATTATAAATAATATTAATTAATTTTATTTTCTCTTTAAGGGTTGAATTCATGAGTAAATTTTATGAAGGCGCTGGTTATATTTTCCAACCTTTCAGTTTCAAGGCCATTTTAGAGGCTGAAGACGATGCTTAAGCCATTAAAATCAATTGTTAAATAAAGTTTAATATTTGAAAAAGTCTTTATTTTTTAAATTATTCCCACCAGATTTTTATATTATTTTTAAATTCTTTATGTTTTTTGGAAATTTTTCTCTTTAGTCTTGAGAAATAAACTGAATTATGCTGTCTAGACAAATTCTATAAATTGGCTTGCTCAGCCAATTTGACTTTATAAATGAGAAATACCCTACAATCAGATGAAAATATTTCGTTAACCAATCAATCGGTCATACATGAATTTTCACTTGAAATTCATTTTTGCACTCAAACACCGATTTTTCGCTGCAAATTTGAATTTTCATTAAATATTCAATTTCCAGCTAAAAATTTGACTTTTAATTAAAAAAACCGATCTTACAAACTTCTAACTAATTTCGCTTTTACGTGATTAAATAGTTAGATAAGTAGTTAGTTATGTGAACATCTGCCGTGTTGGCCTAATTACACGGTGGTCTCTTTTACCCACAGGATGAGCTTTTGTGACGACTCTCCGCTTCGACCCCATGTCAAATCATTACAAGGAAAGACCGAGGATATGCAATCACACCAAAATGGGGTCTTTCATCCAGGTAACAGTCCCCGGGGGAATCTCAACCGGGACAGTCGTGCGCTTATTTGCCTGTGTTTCTAGTGAGAATCGAACCCACGACCTCCGGTCTAACAGACTAACACGCTGGAGGCACATGATTTTAACTTCAAATGTCTCCAAAGTCGACTTAATCAAGTGCTATTCTTTTTTCTTAGCCTCTAGACACGCAAATTTTACGCGTTTTATGATCAAAATAACCCTCAACAAGTCTTGAGAATTTACAAAAAAAATTAAACACCACAATGTTTTAACACGTTTTTGAACTTGTTTCCAAAAAAAATTATAAAAAAACTGCAACTAAACTTCAATGAACTCTCTTTTACAAAAAAAAAAAAAAAAATACTCAACTTTATGCTGAAACAGCGAAAGTAAATTAATACCACGAATCAACGAATTTCTATATAAACTTAAAATCTACTTTAAATTTAATTAAACTAGAACAATTATTAATAATAAATATAACAAATAAATGAAAAAAATAGTGACATATTAAACATTAACTTGCAAGTGCAGAAAACATATCATAAAACAGTTGAGTTAATAAAGTTCAACAATAAAGTGTTACAAATTTATAGATTAAAAAAAGAAATAAATCTTAAAGGGCCTTTTTAACATGTCCTGGCTCCGGAGTATATTTTTCTATGGTGTATTGCAGCTGTTCGCCCATTTTGCAGTCGCTGATGTTATAGTGCAATTGAATATAAATCGTCCCATTTATGATGTCAGTGATAAATTTGTTAGTTTTTCTATTAAACCCGAGGATTTATATAAAGCTTTAGATGGTTCTAATAGGTGAGGTGTTCATTTTAATTTGGAATACAAGTGCAACCCATAATTATTCTAATCTTGATTTGTGTTTTAGAAAAACTATAACCCGCATGGCTTCTATGTTGAGCCATTCGCATGTTAAATTTGTGGGTGATTTCTATTTTGCTTCTAAAACCGAGGGCATACGTTTGAGAAATCCAACGAAAATTGTTTGGAAGGGTTTTAATAAGTGGACCAAGTATGTATTTTTCTTCGAGATTATATTATGTTTAATGGTCTGCAGACTTAGCCTATAGACTCTTCTATAGTCACGATTATAGTCTATTCTATAACTTAGACTATAGAGTAGTTATTATTATAGTCAAGACTATTGTCTAGTCTACAGTCAAGACTGAAGTATAAACCATAGACTAGACTATAGTTTCGTCTATAGTCAACGATAGAGTCAGTCTATAGTCTAGTTTATGGCCAAGACTATAGTCTAGTGTCAAAACTGTAGTCTAGTCTAGAGTCAAGACTATAGTCTAATTTATAATCAATACAATAGTCTATAGTCAAGACTATAGTTTAGTCTATAGTCAAGACTATAGTTTAGTCTATAGTCAAGACTATAGTTTAGTATACAGTCAAGACTATAGTTTAGTATACAGTCAAGACTATAGTCTAGTCTATAGTCAAGAATATAGTTTAGTCTATAGTCAAGACTATAGTCTAGTCTATAGTCCAGACTATAGTTAAGTCTATAGTAAAGACTATAGTTTAGACTATAGTCTAGTCTATAGTCAAGACTATAATTTAGCCTATAGTTTAGTCTGTAATCAAGACTACAGTTTAGTCCATAGTCTAGACTATAGTTTAGTCTATAGTCAAGACTATAGTCTAGTATATAGTCAAGACTATAGTCCAGTCTATAGTCAAGATTATAGTTTATTCTATAGTCAAGACTATAGTTTAGTCTATAGTCAAGACTATAGTTAAGTCTATAGTCAAGACTATAGTTTAGTATATAGTCAAGTCTACGGCTTAGTTTATAGTCAAGACTATAGTCAAGACTATAGTTTAGTCTATAGTCACGACTATAGTTTAGTCTATAGTCAAGACTATAGTCTAGGCTATAATCAAGACTATAGTCTAGGCTATAATCAAGACTATAGTCTAGGCTATAATCAAGACTATACTTATATACTCTATAATTAGGACTATAATCTAGTCTATAGTCTAATCTATTGTGAAAACTATAGTCTAATATATAGTCAATACTATAGTCAAGTGTAAAAAGTCTACAAAAAATATTTCCATTTTTTTTGCATTACACTTTCAGAGCCGTAAATTGGTCGATGATTATACCGGTACCCTATAAGCCCGACAATTGGGATGCCATGCAGGCTTTGAAAATTTTAAATACTTCTCATATGGTGGGTATAGATGAAGCCATTTGGCAGTTGGGCACAGGTATGCATTAATTTATAACTTTTCTTAAGATATTTCAGTTAATCTAAAAACATTACATTTAAAATATTTCAGATTTCGGTACCTCTCGGGCTGCAGACTATGCCAGTGAATTGAAGACATTTAATTTAATGGTGGAATCATTTAAGCAAACTGTTACCAATTGGCAAACTATGGGTGCTGATATATCGGCTGGCAGTAGTCCTGAGGAAACCAAACGTTATGTTGAACTGTCTAGGGATTTGAATGTAGCCTATGGATGGATACAGTAAGTAGTTTTATTTATTTGAGAGATATACAGACATCTCAACTTCTCTAACACATTTCTTCTTCCAGATCTGGTGATATGTTCTCTAGTGTAGGTTCAACCATTTCCGATCGTGATCCGGCTCTTAAAGTTCTTTTCAAATCAAATGTTCCCGTTTGGCTGTCTCTACCCAAAAAGAAAGTTCTCTCAACACATCTAGATGATGAGGTGCTTGATGGTCTTAGCTGGGCTCAAACTATGGGTGATGCTGCCAATGTGGGTTTTGAATCTATTTTTAAAACTCTATCTCTCGATGATTTAGAAAAACCCAAATATGGTTTCTATGTAACGGCTCTGTTTAAGAAAATTATGGGTTCTCGTGTCTATCCTGCTCGTCCTTTGGGTGTATTTGGTCGCAACAATAAACTATACACTCATTGTGCTAATATGGTATCGGGCGGTTTGGCTTTTATGGTGGTCAATAAACAAGAGCTACCTTTACAGATTGCCATAAGATCCATGAATAGATTGCAGGATTCTGAGGTGTGGCAATATGCTCTCACCATGTCTAATGGTCATGTTATGTTGAACAATAAGAAGTTGTCGGTAAATACTACTCTCATACCTGAGATCAGGAGAAAACATACCAAGTCCATGTTGCAATTAAAGACGCCAGGTTTGTCAGTGAGCTTTTGGGTTTTGCCCAATGCCAACTTGGAACACTGTCAATTTACTGAAGTCGAGACTCCCGTAGTGCCAGCAGAAGAGACCAATCAAAAAATTAAACGTTATTCCTCCACTGATCGTTTGTTAAAGGAATTAATTAAAGAATCCGCTAAACCACCTCTGTCACCTTTGGCCAGTCTTATAAGAAGACATCGTAGATCGGTGGATAATGAAGACAGATTTAAACGTTTTGTTTTAGAAGGCAATAGGGATGAGATTAAACCTTTGACCAACTTTGCCGAAAACATTGTACAAGAAATGAAAACACCCCTGAAAAGAGATATCTTCTCACCAGACCGAAGAATTGCGGCCTTAAGTTGGTTAGGCAACATTTTTAAGGAACCCTTTAGCTTGGATTTGCCTTTGTTAAAGAGAAATGCCCGTCAATCGGATGCCTATACAGGACCCTTCTTTATGACACGCGATGGTAAGAAAACTGCTTTCACAAAAAAGATCACAGAGATCAGAAAACCCGAAAAGAAAGTAAATAAACTTCCTGTCGAAGATCAAGAATTTGATGAGGAAAAATTTTTTAAAAATGTGGGCGTACAACCCGAACCGGAATATGTTCGTGTGCCCGAAGGAGATGTGTTCTTGAGTAAAATTGCCTCTTTAGATGGTGACGAAACAGATGAAGAGCTGAAAATTGAAACAAAAAAGGCCAATAAAGCCAAGGCCCAGACTAAAGAAATTGTTAGTGAAATGAAGCCTTTACGTCTATTACCCACTGAATTCTTTGAAGCCTTACCTGCCAATCCCATCAAACCAGTGGCAAATAAGTTGAACATTGGTTCTGCCTTAAATTCCCTGCTTTTCTCTGATCCGTTTGGCAAGAAATATGGCAAATCTAACAAAAATGTATTTGCCAAAAATTTCGATTTAAAAGAAGATCCCATTACAACGGAAATTGTAGAACCAGAAATCCATAAAGATTTGGATATAGATGCCGAAACCAATGATGTCGATGATTTTGAGCAGGCTCAAATCGATATAACCCAAAAAGCTTTAAAGAAGAAAGTCTCAGAAGAGGAAGTCGATGAAAGTAAGGAAAAAGATGTAGACGAGTTATTAGATGCTGGCGAGGAAAAGACTTTGGAGAAAACTAAACCTTTATATTCCAATTTTCTTTCGTCCGACAATTTAAATTTATTTGGTGAATCCTCCAAAGGTGAAGCAGAAGAGGAGTTAAACGCCGACAATAAATCTGTACAAACTGATAGCTCTACCAAGACTAAATTTGACGAATTACCCTGGTGGGATTTATCAAATACACGTTTAAAGCGCTCTCTAGACACTCGTTATCCAGCCGATTCATGGCGTAATAATATGATCAGTAAAGATGAAGATCCCATAACAGCGGCCGATGAAATGTCACCGATACGTTTGCGTCATTTTGAACATAAAGTCGAAGAAGTTGTTCGCTCTGCTAACAATAAAAATAATAAAAACGATGACGACAATGATGATGATGGTTCAATTGGAAAAAGGATTGTTAAGACTTTTAAGGAGCAAGTAACTAAGTTAGTGGATATTTTCTCGCAACATGTAAATGAGTGGTATAATACTTTGACTAAACAACTGGATAGTCCAGAGGAAAGCACTACCGAAGGAAATCGTATAGCGTAAGCTGAGCTTTTTAATTAGACAGAAAGGGTGAATTTGAAAGAAAAGTAGTTAAAATTTAAATTCTAGTTATTAGAAAATATGTATATTTGAGTTATTATTTTAATATTTATATTATGTTTAGAGTTGTATTATCTACTAAAATTATTTATTAATCTTTATAAAACATTGGTGAAGTAATTGTGTAAATAAAGTATATGAAATCGTTAGAAATAGAAATGTTTAATCTAATTTTTAGCCGGCAAGCAAGCATATTTAAATAGCAATCGATGATCGCGACTCTAATAACTAGTCCTAGTTAGAGGAACTTAATATAATGCACAAAGTCTATCATCAGGCTACTATTTGTCAGAATCTCTGGTGAAAATGAAATCAGCCCTTGTACTGACCGACTACAGTAATACTAGTTAGTTGGTTACCTAGCTAGTTAGTAATTTATTAAGTTAGTTACTTAGGTAATTCCTTTCCATGGTATAGTCTAGTCTATAGTCTAGTCTACAGTCTAGTCTATAGTCTAGTCTATAATCTAGTCTATAGTCTAGTCTATAGTCTAGTCTATAGTCTAGTCTATAGTCTAGTCTATAGTCTAGTCTATAGTCTAGTCTATAGTCTAGTCTACAGTCTAGTCTATAGTCTAGTCTATAGTCTAGTCTATAGTCTAGTCTATAGTCTAGTCTATAGTCTAGTCTATAGTCTAGTCTATAGTCTAGTCTATAGTCTAGTCTATAGTCTAGTCTATAGTCTAGTCTATAGTCTAGTCTATAGTCTAGTCTATAGTCTAGTCTATAGTCTAGTCTATAGTCTAGTCTATAGTCTAGTCTATAGTCTAGTCTATAGTCTAGTCTATAGTCTAGTCTATAGTCTAGTCTATAGTCTAGTCTATAGTCTAGTCTATAGTCTAGTCTATAGTCTAGTCTATAGTCTAGTCTATAGTCTAGTCTATAGTCTAGTCTATAGTCTAGTCTAGTCTATAGTTTAGTCTATAGTCTAGTCTATAGTCTAGTCTAGTCTATAGTTTAGTCTATAGTCTAGTCTATAGTCTAGTCTATAGTCTAGTCTATAGTCTAGTCTATAGTCTAGTCTATAGTCTAGTCTATAGTCTAGTCTATAGTCTAGTCTATAGTCTAGTCTATAGTCTAGTCTATAGTCTAGTCTATAGTCTAGTCTATAGTCTAGTCTATAGTCTAGTCTATAGTCTAGTCTATAGTCTAGTCTATAGTCTAGTCTATAGTCTAGTCTATAGTCTAGTCTATAGTCTAGTCTATAGTCTAGTCTATAGTCTAGTCTATAGTCTAGTCTATAGTCTAGTCTATAGTCTAGTCTATAGTCTAGTCTATAGTCTAGTCTATAGTCTAGTCTATAGCTAGTCTATAGTCTAGTCTATAGTCTAGTCTATAGTCTAGTCTATAGTCTAGTCTATAGTCTAGTCTATAGTCTAGTCTATAGTCTAGTCTATAGTCTAGTCTATAGTCTAGTCTATAGTCTAGTCTATAGTCTAGTCTATAGTCTAGTCTATAGTCTAGTCTAGTCTATAGTTTAGTCTATAGTCTAGTCTATAGTCTAGTCTAGTCTATAGTTTAGTCTATAGTCTAGTCTATAGTCTAGTCTATAGTCTAGTCTATAGTCTAGTCTATAGTCTAGTCTATAGTCTAGTCTACAGTCTAGTCTATAGCCTAGTCTATAGTCTAGTCTATAGTCTAGTCTATAGTCTAGTCTATAGTCTAGTCTATAGTCTAGTCTATAGTCTAGTCTATAGTCTAGTCTATAGTCTAGTCTATAGTCTAGTCTATAGTCTAGTCTATAGTCTAGTCTATAGTCTAGTCTATAGTCTAGTCTATAGTCTAGTCTATAGTCTAGTCTATAGTCTAGTCTATAGTCTAGTCTATAGTCTATTCTATAGTCTAGTCTATAGTCTAGTCTATAGTCTATTCTATAGTCTAGTCTATAGTCTAGTCTATAGTCTAGTCTATAATCTAGTCTATAGTCTAGTCTAGTCTATCTAGTCTAGTCTATAGTCTAGTCTATAGTCTAGTCTATAGTCTAGTCTATAGTCTAGTCTAGTCTATAGTCCTGTCTATAGTCTAGTCTATAGGCTTGTCTATGGTAGTTAGTCGATAGCCTAGCCCACCATGTCATCAGGATACCCATGATATCCACCACATATTCCACTGTATAGCCCACCCTACTGTTTTCTTAAAAGCAATTTACATATTTCTAGTAAAAATTCAAGTTATTACAGTTTGTAATGCATCTCATAATTTAGTCTGAAAAGTATTAAATATTAAGCTTCTCTAATTTTAATTAAAGTTTTTCAAATATGTTTTTTAATGAAAATAACACAAAAACTTAAAAAATCCTATTAAGATTTAAAGAGAGATCTTACATCCCTCTCTTCTTAGTTGAAAAGAAAAACAAAAGACTTAAGCAACAAACTTGCTCAAGCATAATAATCAAGAGATGAAAACTTAATAGTTATAGTCAACTAATGATCATTATTACAAAAGCCCTTTTAAAAACGAAAAGCAGAGAAAAAACGAGAACTAAAATCAAAAGACAAACAAATAAAAATTACAAAAAAATAACTACAATAAATTTCAAATGAGAAAGAAGAAAAAATAAAAAAATTTACTTTTTGCTCTCTGCCTGTTATAACAATGCAATCTCAGCATATTGATCGTAAACAACAACAAACAACCTGTTGTTTTGAGAAGAAGAAAAAGCATTAATAATACAACAACCAAAAAGACGTGGCTTTTTATTATTATAAGTATATTTATTGTTAAAGTGGGGTTTTTGTTGTTGTAGTTGTTGCTATTAACTGGGTTTTTGTGTAAGATACACTTATAGAGACGGGGTTTAATACACTATTTTTGACCAGTCTTATACAAAACGTTCAAGGCGAAGGTTGTGAAAAAGTTTAGATTAAAACTATAAAAGAAAGATAATTTAAAAAACTACTAATTTATAATTAATTAATATAAAAAAATATAAGGTAAGTTAACAAGTGGTATTAAGAAAAAAGTTAATATATATAAAATAACAAAAAGAATTAAATATTTTGAAAACATATAAAAAGAAAATTAGACTATAAAAGTTGAAATGGAATTGTATATTTTTGGTTTAAAACCCAAATTAAAATATTAGCATAACAATTACAAATTCAATTCAAATTGCCTTACTTTTTTATTAATTTCTTAATTATTCATTCATTAAACAAATTCATGTATTCTTAAAGATATTTTCAAAAACTATTCTTTTTTACATATTTTTCAATGACGTGGAAGTTTTATTCATTCCATTATTTACTAGTATGTACATCATTGTTCCCTCTTTTCCTTATTAATTTTTTTTTCGTGTATATGTTCATTAATGATCATTATTATTTAGCTGCTGCTTCTAGTTACATTTTCTTCTTTATCTTTTGTAGTTTTTTTCTTCATCTTGTGTTCCTCTTCTCTTCGACATTGAACTTAAATAAACTTTATTTTATGTATGAGATGTTTTCAATATGTATCTGTCATTTAGTTTCCCATACATACATATATATATATAAATTATTTACTGACAACAACAAATTCAAAACATCTAAAAAAAATTTCATAACAATTTGATTTTTTTTTTAGTCAAAAAAATTTTGTTTTTGTTTTTTTTAGTGAAAGTGTTAAATTGGACTTTGTTTTAACAGACTTCTTCAATTTTTTGTTTTGGTATTTTATAAATTTTAGTGTTTCTGTTTGTAGTTATTGTATTTGTTGTTGTATTATCAATACTTTAACATGACAAAGGTATTGTATTACAAATACGTCTTAACCCGTTAAAGTCCATATAAAAATAATAATTTGGGACAAATAGCAAACATAAAGCTATGTATAGGCGGCTGTCAGAGTTTACAATATTGTCAGATCAGGCAGCTTTATATAGGCGGCCGTCAGATCTTACAATGTTGTCAGATCTTGCCATGTACAGACAATAAAATATTGTTAGCAACAAGTTAATTCTTAGTTCGGACGATTTTAAGAAAACCTTACAATTTCATTACCAGACAATTGTCAGATTATATGCCAACAAAAATTGTCAGTTTAAATTGTTGTCAGATTGTTGTATGAGAAATATTTTAAAAGAATATTGCACTCGAAATTTTAATCTTATCTTAAAAATTTCTGATAGAATTATTCAAGATTGTGATCATGTGTTCCTCAGACAATTGATTTCAACAAACACACATACTGTATAACTCGCTACAAATTTGGGATAAATAGCAAACATAAAGCTATGTATAGACGGCTGTTAGATCTTACAATGTTGTCAAATCTGGCAATATACTGACAATAAAAAATTTGTTAGCAACAGGTCTGTTCAGACTATTATAAGAAATCCTTACTAAAATTGTTGCTAAATAGCTAACATAAAGCTATGAACAGACGGCTGTCAGATCTTACAATGTTGTCAAATCTGGCAATATACTGACTATAAAAAATTGTTAGCAACAGGTCTGTTGAGACTATTATAAGAAAACCTTACTAAAATTGTTGCTAAATAGCAAACATAAAGCTATGAACTGACGGCTGTCAGATCTTACAATGTTGTCAAATATGGCAATATTCACACAATAAAAAATTGTTAACAGGTCTGTTCAGGCTATTATAAGAAAACTTTACAGTTTCATTTCCAGACAATTGTCCGATTGTCAGTTTTCACTGTTGTCAGAATGTTGTATGGCAAAAGTTGCCAGATCGTATATTATTAGCAAGTGTTGCCAATAGAAATTATTTCTCTGTCAATGATGACATTATGAAATGCATAAAATTTCCACATCTGACAATAAAATTTGTCAGATAATAATCTTACAATGATCTGACAATGGCAGCGTTATGTGTTTACACGATTGTCAGATGTTTGACAATATTATTTAATTACAATCTACTGGCTATGATTTCTCTGACAACGTTTCAAGGAAAAATTGTATGATTCTACGATTGTTAGACATTTCTCTGACAACATTG